ACAGATGGTTGTGAGCCACCATGTGGTTGCTGGGAATTGAACTCAGGACCTTTGGAAGAGCAGCCAGTGCCCTTTACCACTGAGCCATCTCTCCAGCCCTGTCCTCTGACTTCTATACAAGCATGTTTGCACTCGAACATACACACTCATATACACATGTGCACACACACAAACACATACACAAATGCAATTTAAAAATTAAGAACTCCGCCTTTAATCCCAGCACTCGGGAGGCAAAGCCAGGCGGATCTCTGTGAGTTCGAGGCCAGCCTGGGCTACCAAGTGAATTCCAGGAAAGGCGCAAAGCTACACAGAGAAACCCTGTCTTGAAAAAACCAAAAAAAAAAAAAAAAAAAAAAAAAAAATTAAGAACTCATATAAATATAAAATGAATACATATGAAGATGTAATAACTTGGGCCAGGAGGTCAGGGCACATGCCTTTAAAACCAGCACTCGGGAGGCAGAGGCAGGTGTATCTCTGTGAGTTCGAGGTCAGCCTGGTCTACAGATTACTCAAGTTCCAGGACAGGCAAGGTGGTTCCACAGAGAAACCTGTCTTGAAAAAAAAAATGTATTAACTAGTTAATGAAGAGAAAAAGAGGCAAGTCTGGCTTAAATACTTTAATATTCCTGTTTGTGTGTGTTCTATTCCTTCCCTATTCCCTCCATTTTCTCTCCCAACTTTATGTGGTCTTTTCCTTTCTGTTTTGATTCAGATAATGTTGAAGAACTGAGAATTTACAGGCATTCACAGAAAGTTGTTAAAATGATTTTTAGGTTAGATATAGAGTGGTTAATGGCTATAGGAAAATAAACCATGTTCTCCATGGTTATCTTCTTTATTGGACAGAGATCTTCAAGTTAACATATAAATGCACAGTACCTAGGCTCTAATAAAAATGTAAATAGCAAAGTTAAGCAGTCATTTCATAGAAGATTAGTGTTGGGGTTCAGGTCAGTGGTAGAGTGCTGGGTTCAGTCTTAAGCTCCAGGGAAAAATCCCTAGTGAAGCTTCTAAGCAATGCTCTAGAATAGTTGAGAAGACAGGCAGTCTTACCTTTCACCTCATTCATAAAATTTAAAACATGGGCAATCACTATAAGTTGATACATTTACTGGCAACCCCACTTTTAGGGAGAGGTAGATTTGTGGAGAGTGATGAGAAAAGAGGAAAGTGGGGAGAAGAGATTAGAGGTCTGGGAGAAAATGAACCTTGAGAATTATATTAAAATTTCATTTTTTATTTCCTTCCCTAACTTGCTCTCATTTTTTTCAAGCCCTGGCTGTCCTGGAACTTACTTTGTAGACCAGGCTGGCCTTGAACTCACAGAGATCCGCCTGCCTCTGCCTCCCAAGTGCTGGGATTACAGCCAAAAATCATCAGTTCAATTTTTTTTTAATAACTGATACATAGACACATACACACAAATTGTACATATCAGTGTGGTATTATTTTATAAATTTTAATTCACCTACTCTATTGATGTACTTCATTATCATAAATAAAAGATACTTTTGTCTTGTTTTTGAAGACAGGATTTCAATGTGTAGGGTAGGCTAGTCTTGAACTCATGATCCTCCTGCCTTAGTGCAGGGCACTGGGGTACAGGCAGGTGCCACCACACTAAAACTAATGCTGGGGGAGTAGAGAATCTAGTGTAACTATGAAGATTCTCTAGCACCTACATAGAACTGGGGAGAGGACAATGTAATTAAGAAATATTTAATAGTAGCAATCATAGATTTTTTGGCTCTGGTTCTAAGATGAGAGGCTTAGAACCAAACTATATTTGGCTACAACTCACAAGGTCATGAGCAATGAGGAAGCAGTCTCAGTCAAACGTGCTAAACTGAAAGTTTCCGAGGTCAGGTGTCCAGGAAATAAAGAGCATTCATTTGATCTGAAGAACACTCTTTTCTGTCCCAAACATGCACTATCAAGGAGGACCATTACAGAATCCTGAAACCCATATAAAAACAAACAAACAAAAACCCCCAAAAACAACCACTCAGAAAATGTAGAGAAAATGGATAAATTCTTAGATACACAGGGTACAGCAAAATTAAATCAAGCAGACATAAACAACACAAACACATCCATAACAAGCAATGAGATCAACCAATAAGGTGTACCCACAAACAACAATAACAACAACCCAGGACCTGATGGACTCACTGCTGAATTCTCCTGAACCTTTAAGGATAATCTAATGCCAGTATCTTTCAAACGCCTCCAAAACACAGAGAGGGAAGGGATAGCATCAGAACCATTCTATAAAGCCAGCCTGATACCCTGATACCAAAACTGGATAAGGACACAACAACAATAAAACTAGAGAGTTGGGGCTGGAGAGATGGCTCAGAGGTTAAGAGCACTGGCTGTTCTTCCAGGGGTCCTGAGTTCAATTCCCAGCAACCACATGGTAGCTCCCAACCATCTGTAATGAGATCTGGTGCCCTCTTCTGGCTTGCAGGCATGCATACAGAAAGAACACTGTATACATAATAAAACTTTAAAAACAAACAAACAAACAAAAAACTACAGACAGATTTCCATGAACATACATGTAGAAATTTTCAATAAAATACCTCAAAACTCATTCAGAAAGACCACCTAATATAACCAAGTTGGCTTCATCCCAGGGATGCAATTGATTTAGTACATGCTGTTCAATAAATGTAATACAATACATAAATGGATAGAAATCACATGACCAGTTCAGTAAAGAAATGGCCTTTGGCGAAGTTCAACATTCCTTCATGATTAAGCCCCAAAGAGACTAGAAATAAAGGAAAATATCACAACACAACAATGACACATATCACCCTTGCCACTTGCAATAAATAGTGTGCTTACTGTCTGCCTTTGGCTTTTCAAATGCTGAAGTAAATACTGGCTATTTGCTCAGATAAGAAAAAAATAAAAATAAAATAAAGGTACATATGACAAGCCTATAGTCAACATAATTCTAAGTGGGGGAAATGTTAAAGCATTTCTTCTAAATCAGGAATGAGACAATGGTACCTGCAGTTGGATTTTTTTTTCCTTTGGTTATTTGGGGGGCCTGCCATCTAACTCACAAATAAATCACACCGAGATGTGTTCTTACTTATGAATGCCTGGCCTTAGCTTGGCTTGTTTCTGGCCAGCTTTTCTTAATTTAAATTATCCCGTCTACCTTTGGCCTCTGGACTTCTTCCTTTCTCTATTTCTGTCTGCCTTTCTTTACTTCTTACTCCATGTCTGGCTATATAGTGGGGTGGCTGGCTCCTGATGTCCTCCTCTCCTTTTCTTGCTCCTTTCCTCCTTTTCTTCCCAGATTTCTCCTATATTTCCCAGATTTCCCTCTGCCTGCCAGCCCTGCCTATTTCTCTCTCCTGCCTCACTATTGGCCATTCAGCTCTTTATTAGACCAATCAGGTGTTTTAGACAGGCACAGTAGCACAGCTTCACAGAGTTAAACAAATGCAACGTATCTTTGCATCATTAAATAAATGTTCAACAGAATAAACAAATGTAACACATCTTCAACTAATAGTCTACAACAGGAACCAACTCTGCTTGAGATTCCAGTAAAGCTGCGAGAAAAGACGACAGAAAAGGGGAACAGAGAGGAGAGTGTGCTGGTTAGGTTTTTTGTCAACTTGACCCAAGCTAGGATGAGCTGTGAACAGGGAACCTCAACTGAGAAAATGCCTCCATTAGACTGACCTGTAGGCAAGTCTGTGGAGCATTTTCCTGATTAATGATAGATGTGGGAGGGCCCCTCCCAGTGTGGGTGGTGCCACCCCTGGGCAGGTGTCCTGGGTTGTATAAAAAAAATGAAGCTGAGCCGGGCAGTGGTGGCGCACACCTTTAATCCCAGCACTGAGGAGGCAGAGGCAGGCGGATCTCTGAGTTCAAGGCCAGCCTGGTCTACAAAGTGAATTCCAGGATAGCCAGGGCTACACAGAGAAACCCTATCCCCAAAAAACAAAAACAAAAACAAAAAAGAAAAAGACAGGAAGGTGAGCAAGTTGTGAAGATCCTCCATGCTCTCTGCTTCAGTTCCTGCCTCAAGTTCCTGCCCTGACTTCCTCAATGATTGACTAACTCTGTAAGATGAAATCGCCCTCTCCTCCCCAAGCTCTTGGTCCTGGTGTTCATCACAGCAATAGAGAGCTCATTAGGGCAGAAAGGAGACAAAGAAGTCAATTCATCCCCATGACATGACCCTAAAGATTCCTAAAGACCCCAAGACTTTACCAGAAAACCCTTATACCAAGCATCAACACACAAAATAACTAGTCTTTCTACATACAAATAACCAACTTGCCTAGGAAGAAATAAATCACGCCCCACCCTCAGCCGAGGGGCCATTGGCAGCTGACAGCCACTGGGGGAGGGGAGTCCACTTTCTTTAGTGGTGTGGCCCGGGGTAGGTTGCCCATGCACCAGTGGATGGCACCCTATACCCATGGGCACACAGAAAGCACTAACTGGACTCTGTGGTATACAAACAGAAGTCATGAAGGTGGGAAGGAGATTTGGGGAGGTGTTGTCAAGGAGGAGGTGGAGCTGGGGAGTGGGCAGTGGAGATGATCTAAACACATCGTATTCATGTGTGAAACAAAGAAATAAACCTAGGAATAAACCTAACTAAGGAGGTAAAAGAACTCTATAATGAACACTGAACACTGAAAAAAAATAAAACATTAGACTGCCCATGCCTATGGATTAGAAAAATTAATATTGGAAAAATGTTTGTATTACTGAGAGAAATTTAAAGATTTAATGTGGTCCCTATCAAAATTCCAGTGACGATCTTTACTGATGTAGGAAAAAACAGTACTAAAATTCATATGAAAGCACAAAAGACCTTGAAGAATCAAATGATTCTAAGTCAACAACTACAGACATACTCAAACATCCATGTTTACAGCTGTTATATTCACAACAGCTAGGAAATGAAACCAGCCTAGATATCCATTAATAGAGAAAACAGTAAAGGAAATGTATACATATACACAATGCAATTTTATTTAGCCTTAAATAAATGAAATTATGATATTTACAGGAAATGGAGAGAAAAGGACATCATGCTGTATAAAAGTTCAAAAAGACAAATACAACATTTTCTCTCGTATACAACAACACCAAAAATCTATGTTATTTTTTGTTGTTGTTGTTGTTGTTTTTGAGACAGGGTTTCTCTGTGTATCCCTGGCTGTCCTGAAACTCACTCTGTAGACCAGGCTGGCCTCATACTCAGTGATCCACCTGCCTCGAACTGCTGAGTGCTGGGATTAAAGACGTGCACCATCACCACCTGGCCAAAATCTAGGTTTTTATATGGGTATGGATGTGCTGGGGTGGGGGACTAAAAGGGGCACTATGAGAAGGAACTTTAAGGGGTACAGAAGGCAACAGAACACAGGGGACATGAAAGCAGAAGAGGGTGACTGGAAAGAAGGGGGTCAGTAAGAAGACAAGGGGACAGAGGTCGGGGGGATAGGAACAGAGGTTATTGATATACCCCTGAAGATGCCATAATAAAGCACGATCCTTTGTCTAACTTTCACAAATCAGCAACCCCTGGCAACCAAAACACCAGACTGAAGGAAAGAAAAAAGGGAGGAAAAGAAAAACTGGTAAGAGTTAACACTCAGCTCCAGCTTTATTCAAAGAGTAAGAGTTCCCTTGTAGAAAACCTATGATTTCTATCAATCAGATAATAGTCTAGTAAGAACAAACACATCTGCACACAGTGGCCGTGCTAAACAGATCAGTGCACATCTAACTCCTGTGCAGGTCTGGACAGGAGAACCTATTGCTCACTCATTGTGGGTGAACTTCCCACCGTATAAACCAGCCTCTCACAGGAAGTGGTTCTGGTTTCAGAGTAACTTTAGTGTACATTTCCTGATCGTGGGGGGACAGAATTGCCTTTGTCTGTCACACTGCCTACACTTGCACTGTGAGGCATTTTGCAGGTGCTTTTGTCTACCCCGGAGTCAAATACACAGGGAGACATAATGAACACAGGTTAATTCCAATCTTGTCAAACTATAATTATTCACTCTTTCCCAAAATCTTCTATGTCGTGACTCTTTACTACACCCTTCCCCCTTTATTTCATCCAGATTTTTACAAAAACATCTGTAGCATTCCAGGGCCATGCACAGGACCCTTTCTGCTGAGAGAAAGTCTTCCTTGCTATTCTGGGAGCCATAATCCAGGTTCTCACCCTCTTCAGCCTTCACTGAAAACCTGGCTCTAGTCTCTCTCCTGAGTAATATTATTAAAATATCTGTTTACACGTTTCTGAGTTACCTTCCCTTTAGACTGCCAGCTCCTTACAGAGCATTCCCACACTGTTCTTCTGTGTTTCTCATAGACCCACACAACACACGCAAGTGTTTTGGTTTTATATGTACATTAGTGTTTACACATTTTCTAGGACCGATCTTTGTTCTTTGTGGAGACATGGAGCAGGAGGTCTCAGAACTCATCCGCTGACTCTGTGTCCCAGCTGCAGGACAGCAGCTGTTCATCCTGAGGGAACTCAACTTCCACGTCATACACAAAGCTGGGGTCATCCTTTCTCTTCTGATTTTTCTCAAAAAGTTCATCCATGATGCTCTTCCTTTTGGCCAGCTCCTTGTCATCCAGTTTATTCAGGTCTTCCTCGGGGTCAATGGTTGTTTCCCGTTGAATCTGCTCCATGGTTTCTGCCAAGCTCTGTCCCTTCAAGTAACCGCGTAAAAAGACGAACAGCTTCTCCAGCTGTTTCAGGGACACCTGTTCTAGGTAACTCTTGTGCCGTGGATTATTCTTTAGTTGTTCAGCAGCTCGGGTACAATCTAGGAGGGAGAAAAGCATACATAAAACACACAGATCATACCTACCACAAACTACTGTAAGGACTAAGACAGACCAAAACCCTGAGATCACTAGCTCCAAGGTAGCCAACTAGCTAAAGAGGTTTATGGAAATCAATTATTATTCTTTAGAACTATTCTTTTACAGTAAATTGAGTTTCATGGGATATAATCATGTTGTTATGTAGCAGTTTATTTATTTACTTTTTCTGAGATTAAAACATAACAACCTGGTGTGGGGGAAGGGGGAGGGAAGAGGAAGGAGGGGAAACTGTGGCCGGGATGTAAAATAAATAAATAAATAAATGAATAGATACATACATACATACATACATAAATAGATAAACAAATAAACAAAGAAAGAAAGCTTAAAAAACAAAACAACAACAAAAAACAAAACAAAACAAGCATTCCATCCTATAGGCAAGCTCCTTCAGACAAAAAGAAAATGATTCAGAACAACTCCAGGAAATCCCTAAAACTGACCAGATTCACTACATCCTTCCTTCCTTGGAATAAACAAGACTGCCCAGGCCACTCTCAGAGGAGCCAAGCGGCACAAAAGACCCTTGAGAGCAGCCAGACCACCTAAAAGAAACAAAAACAAGTGCAGCTGCCTAAAAGAGGCTCCGGCCAACTGAGGCCCCCGGGAAGGACGCTCTCCCACCTGGGAGCTGCCTGCAGGCAGTGCGGTGTGCTCCAGCTTTGTGAGCTGTCACTCATGCCAGGTGTGAGTGACACAGCTGTCTTTGAGTCATTTCTGCTCCTGTGAGCAACCCCTCACCCATATTCCTATAAGGAACCCTCTAAAGCTCACTGGTTCACCAGACTGAACTTCAGTGGTATTTACACTCTGGTCTGTCATGGGCTCCCTATCTGAGATAAATACACATAAATATGTTGTGTCTCCCTAGGAAACGTTTGTCACATAGCACACACACGCCTGTAATCCTAGCATTTGGAAGAATTGGGAAGACAGACTGTCTTAGGCTCGCCTGGACTACTTAACCAGATCCTGACTTATAAACAAAAAACACAACTGGATGATATGGAGGTACATGTTTATAATTGCTTCTCATCCCAGCATTAGGGAGGCTGAAGCAGGAGGATATTCATGAGTTCATGCCAGCTGAGGTGACAGAGAGATCCTGCCTCAAAAAATACCCAAAATAGCTGGCTGGTAGTGTCACATGCTTTTAATACCATGCCTTTAATTTTATATGTATGTTTGCCTAAATGTATGTGTACCATGTGTGTGCAGTACCAGCAAAGGCCACAAGGGGGTGTCGGATCACATGGAAGAATTAGAGGATAGCTGTGAGCCACCAGGTGGGTGCTGGGAACTGAACCCAGGTCCTCAGCAAGAGCAGCAAGTGCTTGTAACTGCTGAACCATCTCTCTAAACCCTAAATAAAACATTTTAAATAAGTAAATAAACTTAGCTTTGGTGTGGAGAGAACAATATGGATTTTTTTCTTTTCTTTTTTACTTTCTTAACTAAAAAATTACTTTGGGGGATGTTAAAAACTTTCAACTGTCAAAGGAAGAAAAATGCCATAATTTTTATTTATTTTAGAGACTCACTATGTAGCCTTTTCTGGCCTAGAGATCACTCTGAAGACCAGGTTTGGCCTTGAACTAACAGAGATCCACCTGCCTCTGCCTCCTGAGTGCTGGGTTTAAAGGCATGCATGCCTGGCAAAAAAAAAAATGGCATAGTTTTTAAAAGGCAGCCGTGTGACACTAATAAAATGCTGTCTACAAGTAAAAAACATTTGGAGAAAGAGAGAAGGAAATTTAGTATTATTAAACAGTAGTATATCATTTAATTCATAACTATTCTAAAATATTAAATCACCAATTCTTTAACCGTTAAAAAGAATAGATTAGGAAACTCTTAGTTAGGGCTTCTATGACCATGATAAAACACCATGATCAAAAGCAAGTTGGAGAGAAAAGGTTTATTTGGCTTACACTTCCATGACATAGTCCATGATTGAAGGAAGTCAGGACAGAAACTTAAACAGGGCAGGAACCTGGGGGCAGGAGCTATTGCAGAGGCCATGGAGGGTGCTGCTTACTGGCTTGCTCAGCCTTTCTTATTCCACCCAGGACCTCCTGCCCAGGGGTGGCACCCCCCCCAGTGGGCTGGGTCCTCCCACATCAATCACTAACCAAGACAATGCCCCACAGGTTTGTCTACAGGCTAATCTGTTGGGGACATTTTCTCAATTGACAGTCCCTCTTCCTAAACGACTCTAGCTTGTGTCAGGCTGACACAAAAATACCAGCACAGGAACTGAAGTTTATAAACAATAAGTGATTTCATCAAGGTAACAATCTAGTCCCTGATAAAGTCATGATTTAAACCTAAGTTTAACTCTGAAGAACCTCTCATTCCATTGCATGAAACTAAATACCTCTCTCTTCTCTCTCTGTCCCTCCCTCTCCTTTTCTCTCTCAGTGGGGACTGCATCCAGGACCCTGCACATGCTAGGTAAGTGGTCTACATTCCCTCCCCAACAGAACTTTTTGTTTTTTTAGACAGATTATCTCAAGTTATGCAGGCTTGCATTTTCAATTTTTTGGTCTCAGCCTCTTTAAAGTGTTTGGATTATAGGTATATGCCACTACACCTGATTATGTCAGGCTATTTTTTTTTAAAGATTTATTTATTTATTATGCATACAGTGTTCTGGCCTGCAGGGATACATGCAGACAGAAGAGGGCACCGGATCTCATTACAGACGGTTGTGAGCCACCATTTGGTTGCTGGGAATTGAACTCAGGACCTCTGGAATAGCAGCCAGCACTCTTAACCACTGAACCATCTCTCCAGCCCCGTCAGGCTATTTTTTTTTTTTTTTTTTTTTGGTTTTTCGAGACAGGGTTTCTCTGTGTAGCTTTGCGCCTTTCCTGGAACTCACTTGGTAGTCCAGACTGGCCTCGAACTCACAGAGATCCGCCTGGCTCTGCCTCCCGAGTGCTGGGATTAAAGGCGTGCGCCACCACCGCCCGGCCCCGTCAGGCTATTTTTATTAAGTGATTGAAGAATATTTAAGACAGGAGGCAAGGGCTGGAAAGATGGCTCAATGGTTATGCGCACTTGCTGTTCTTACAGGGTTCCCAAGTTCAGTGACCCAATCAAGCAACTCACAGGCTTGGAGCTCCAGCTTCAGGGATCTCATGTCCTCTTCTAGTCCCTGTAGACACCACGTGCATGGCAAACACTCACACAGACACATATACATAAATAAATAAAAATAAAATTTAAAAGATAGGTGGCAAGATAAAACAGGGGTACCTGAGAACTTGGAGAAGTTTCGGACTGGCATGATGCGCTGGCGACTCTTTCCCTGGGTTTCGTTGTCATATATTAAGATGATGGCTGGGGGCTGAAACCTAATTCCGCATTTCTTGGCAACACATTTCATTTTCACATAAAATTCAGGGTAAACTGAAGGAAATCTGATAAAAATGGGATAGCTGTATAACAAGTTCCAGAAAAAGACAGGTTGAATGGAGCTGGGTATTGAATAAATCTGCCTTCTCCTTCTCCTTAGTGGATCTTAGCCCCAGAACTGTTTGCTCAGCTAATGAAGTTCAAGACTTTGAGGGCTACCTGGGAAGTTCAGTTTGGCCCAGGCTAGCCTCGTTTGTTGGATCTCTGAGTCTCTGCTTGGTTGGGATGCAGTTCGTTCCCACATGAGCTAGGTAATGCCATTTGGTCTGGACCCCTTAGTGTACTGCATTCTTACCAGAGATTACACAGGAACCTGAGCCCAACAGTTGACCTACAGAACCATTTGGATTTTCAGTTAAAGGACGTCTGAATCACCTCTGTCAATAGCAAGGTATTATGGTCCTTCACACTTTCTCCTTTTTTGAGTCAGTGTCTCATCTAGCCCCGACTGGCCTTGAACTTGTTATGTAGTGGAGGATGATCTTAAACTTCTGATCTTCCTGTCTCTACTTTCCCAGTGTTGGAATTATAGGCATGTGCTACTGAGCCTGGTTTCTGGGGTGCTACAAATGGAGCCCAGGGCTTCATGCACACTAGGCAAGCACTCTGCCAGCTAGGTTACATCCCCAGCACTTTTTTCTTTTAGATAAACATTTTTTTTTTTTTTTTTTTTTGGTTTTTTCGAGACAGGGTTTCTCTGTGTAGCTTTGCGCCTTTCCTGGAACTCACTTGGTAGTCCAGGCTGGCCTTGAACTCACAGAGATCCGCCTGGCTCTGCCTCCCGAGTGCTGGGATTAAAGGCATGCGCCACCACCGCTTGGCTTAGATAAACATTTTATACTGAGAGGTTCACTATTGTTGGTTGTTTTTGCTCTTTTTAAGGGGCCGCCACCCAGCTCCCAAATAAATCACACACGGAGACTTATTCTTAATTATGAATGTCTGGCCTTAGCTTGGCTTGTTTCTAGCCAGCTTTACTTAAATTATCCCGTCTACCTTTGGTTTCGGAGCTTTTCCTTTTCTATTCCTGTATACCTTTCTTTGTTTCTTACTCCGTGGCTTGCTGTGTATCTGGGTGGCTGGCCCCTGAGTTCTCCTCCTTCTCAAGTGCTCTTCTCTTCCAGAGTTATCCTTCTGTATATTCTCTCTGCCTGCCAGTCCTGCCTATTTTTCTCTCCTACCTTGCTATTGACCGTTCAGTTCTTTATTAGACCAGTCAGGTGTTTTAGACAGGCACAGTAACACAGCTTCACAGAGTTAAACAAATGCAACATAAACAAAAGTAACACACCCTGAAATAATATTCCCCACGACAGTTCACTAGACCAGATCTACCCCCCCCCCACTGTCTTAATTCTTTTCTTCATCAAGAGGTTATTTTTAAAATCATTACTTACCATCTATCTTCCCTGTTAGTCTACTTGCTCTAGGAAGTCAAGAAGTGTGTCCATTTTCATTAAGCTCTTAGCACATATCTGGAACACAATAAGGGTAATACTTGTTTAATGCTGTGTATTAATATAAACTAAGGTTCCTATACATTATCCTGGGGCACTGGGGCAGGAGTTAAGTGCTGTTTGTTACACATTGTGAAATAATATGAAGGACTGTGAGCTGTTACTAGAATTGTTAGTTTGTGTTGCAGCTTCTTTCTGTGAATGATTGAGATCATGCAGGGCAGTGGTTTCGCAGGCCCTTCTCTTACACCTCGCTGCCTGGAGTGGGGAACTGTAAGCCAAGCAGCCCCTTTCCTTGTAACTGGACAGACTCAGATTTCCTTCCTTTCTTTACTGTTTCTCTGAGGATACTGTAGAAGAACCACAGCTGAAGAGAGCCATCATGAGCACTCCAGCCAGCCTGCACAGGCTTTGGAAAGCAAGGGCACACCAGGCCCAAGCCTCAGTGAGTGTTGGTAATCCTATGTTCACCCAAGCCAGAGGGGCAGTAACCCTGGTGACTCAGCAGCGGGTCATTAAAAGGCTTTTCAAACGGCCTTTTCCATCCTGCTTTTGATCTTTAGTATTAGCACACCAGACTGAGCTATCGACACAAAGAAGACATGGTAAAATTGGCACACTCATAGCAGCCTCCATCCTGGCGGTAGTAGTCACAGCCCCAAGAAGACAATGGAAGGTTCCAGAGAGTAGGTAACTGTGGTGGTCTGAATAAAAATGGCCCCTAAAGGTCCATAGGGAGTGGCACTATTAGGAAATGTGGCCTTGTTGGAGTAGGTGTGGCTTTGTTGGAGGAAGTATGTCACAGATGTCTTCCTGTTGCCTGTAGATCAAGATGTTGAACTCTCAGCTCCTTCTCCAGCACCAAGTCTGTCTGCCTGCTGCCATGCTCCCTGCCATGATGATAACGGACTAAACCTCTGAATTGTAAGCTAGCCCTAATGAAATGTTTTCCTTTATAAGAGTTGCCATGGTCATGGTGTCTCTTCACCACAATAGAAACTCTAATTAATACAGAAGTTGGAGAGGCAGGCGGATCTCTGTGAGTTTGAGGCTGGTCTGGTCTACAAAGCGAGTTCCAGGAAAGGCGCAAAGCTACACAGAGAAACCCTGTCTCGAAAAACCAAAAAATAAAATAAAATAAATAAATAAATAAAACCAGAAGTTGGTGCCAGGAGTGGAGTATTACTGTGATAGGCCTGACCAATGCTTTTATTTGGAGGAATGTGGACTCCAGATTAGAAAAGCAGGTGAAATCTTTAAGTGGGGCTTAATGGGTCATACTAGTAGGAACATGGAAGACAGTGGTGCTGAGGGCAATTTGAACAGTGGGGACTGACTCAAGAGGTTTCAGAGGAAAAGAATGCTAGTAAGTGGCCTAGAGACCGTTCTTGTGGTGTTTTGGTGATGAATGTGACAGCTTTCTGCCCTTGTCCAGAAAAAATCTGCCTGAGCTAAATTGAAGAGTTTTGGATTATTTGTGTTAACAGAGGTATGGGAACCCATTTGGGTTTCCTCGTGGCTTTACCCCGCAGGAAAAAAAAATCTGCCTGAGCTAAATTGAAGAGTTTTGGATTATTTGTGTTAACAGAGGTATGGGAGCCCATTTGGGTTTCCTCGTGGCTTTACCCCGCAGGTCCGCATGGAGAGTATGACTGGACCACGGGCCTGAGTGCAGGTGTCTGAGATGTCTGCACTTGCTGTGCTGGGGGAGGTCCTTTGCTCCACCCCTTGGCATTTCTATAAATACCCTAGGGCAGAGACAGGATCTAGGCCCTCCCGAGGCTATCCTGTGTTTTCTATCCCCTCTATCCTTCTAACTAATATTTCCTGCTGCTCCTACTTAAGAGTACCCTGGGGAAAAAGTGGGGGTGGGATGGCCCCACACACAGAGGAAATAACAAAACAGCCTAGTATTGAACCTGTTGTGTGGTTATTAGTGTTCACTCTTAACAAGATTTATAATGAAAAGAAGCAAACTGAGCAAGGAAAAATACAAAATGTACAGTTCAAGGAGAAAAGGGCACCAGAAAGTGGAGGGAGCTAAGTCCTGTGCTCAAGGAGATAAACAGATTAAAGAAAACCTGATGTTAGATGGAATAAAGGGAGTAGTGACCTCAGGGCAAGATGCTACCCAGTTAAACTTCCAACTTGTGAAAAGGAATTAAAGAAAATCTCAGAGCCAGTGTGGTGGTGCAGCACTCCAGAGGCAGAGGCAGGCCAATCTCTGAGTTTGAGATCCTTTGAGTCTACAGAGTGAGTTCCAGGACAGCGAAGTGCAGGCATCCTTCCCCAAAACCAGAAGGCTGGTGAAGATGCATTTGAACAAGGGGGTCATATTCCAGTCCCAGAAAGCAGCAGAGCTTGGCAGCTTCAGCCATGTGGTTCTGGGTCAAGGAAAGAAGAAAGAGGTTATGGAATTCCCCCACCCCGACATGACTAAGGAAAGCCTCTGAGGCCAGGCATGTGTCAGGGGTTTCCTTACATGGAGGACCTACAGAGGCCATTGCATGAAGCTGTGAAGGAGAAGCCTGGATTGCCTTCAAGACCCCAAGATGCTGGAGATGCCAGAGCTGTGGGATACCTGCCAAGGAGAGCTGCTAGCAGGGAGTGGAACCAGCCCAAGAGAAAGAGTGTGTTGCAGTCAACAAAGCTGAATGGAGTTGGAGATCTGAAGAGTGTTTTGTCATCAGATATTGAGATGTGGAGTTTGGAGTTTGCCCAGCTGGTTTTTGGTCTTGCTTTGGTCCAGTATTTCCTCCCTATCCTCCATTTTGGAATGGTAATGTATATCTTGTGCCATTACAGGTTGGAAGTATGTGATCTGTTTTTTTATTTTGATTTCATATGGGATTATAGTTAAGAGACTTCATGAATCTCAGAAGAGACTTTGAACTTTGGACTTTTAAACACTGTTCAAACTGTGATAAATTATGGGGACTTTTGAGGTTGGACTAAATGTATTTTGCATTATGTTATGGCTACAAGCCTGTGGGGGCCAGGATAGGGAGCAGCACTTTTAGGAGGTGTGGCCTTGTTGGAGTAGGTGTGTCGCTGTTGGAAGAAGTGTCACAGATCTCTTCCTGCTGCCTGCACATCACAGTGTGGAACTCTCAGCTCCTTCTCCAGCACCATGTCTGCCTGCATGCCACCATGCTTAATGCCATGACGATAATGGACTAAACCTCTGAACTGTAAGCCAGCCCCAATTAAACGTTTTCTTTATAAGAGTTGCTGTGGTTGGGAGGAGGGAGGACAGGGGAATCTGTGGTTGTTATGTAGAATGAATAGAAAATCTCTTAATAAAAGAAAAAAAGAATTCTGATAATTGAATCAATCTGTACAAATTTGTCAACCAGTACATTTTGTTGTTGTTGTTAAAATCTGAGTCTCTGAGAATATTAAAAAAAAAAAAAGAGTTGCTGTGGTCATGGTGTCTCTTCACAGCAATAGAAACCCTAACTAAGACAACAGCTAAAGCAGAAACCCTAGAGAGTAGAGGCAGCAGAAGCTCTGAGGCCTAGGTGCTGAAGAGTTTCAGGGGGTTTCAGGCCTAAGGGCTTAGGGCTCTTCTACCCTAGGCCCAACAGCGATAATATGAACCACTGTAGGAATGGAGAATCTCAAGGCCCCCAAGAGCTGCGACTTAGTTCTGCTGGAGAACAAGTACAGGCACACTGTTTAAGAAATTGACAGCATTTATATTTGTTCATTACAGGAAAATGGGGACAAAGGAGGGCGGAAACATGAACTATTCACCTAACTTCTTTTTTTCTAGCTATAGGGATACACACATACATACGCACACCACAGTATATTTTTATATCATAGGATTTCCTGAATTAAAATGCAAATTTTACGGTTGCCAAGTAGATTTGTCATACAGGGCCATAATCTGTATTCTTACCCCTACTGCTAGATGTGAGAATTTTTACTTTTAGGAGGTCATAATAAGAGTTGCTTTTCATATTGCTGTGCTCTGCCTTTGATCCGAGTCAATGACCAGATACGACTCCCAGCTCACCTCGTTAAAGTATGATGTTAGCATACTTTCTAAAAAGTACTACTAAACACACTACATGGTCCACAAACACAAACCAATGGCCACACTTGTGAATAGAACTGACAATAGTGTAGGGCTTTGACTATAGAGTTTTGCTTTTTATTTATTTTTAATTTTGTTTTTTGAGACAGGGTTTCTCTGTGTAACGTCCCTGGCTGTCCTGGAACTTGCTCTGTAGACCAGGCTGGTCTTCAACTCTGACACCCACCTCCCTCTGCCTCCTGAGGGCTGGGATTAAGGGTGGCCTGGATATTTGGGGGGGTGGGGGAGTGGCTAGTGTCCATATTTCTTTCTTTTCTCTCTCTCTTTCTCTCTCTCTCTCTCTCTCTCTCTCTCTCTCTCTCTCTCTCTCTCTCTCTCTTTTAGGTTTTTGGAGACAGGGTTTTTCTGTGTGACAGTCCTAGCTGTCCTGGAACTTGCTTTGTAGACCAGGCTGGCAGGCTGGCAGGCTGGCCTCGAACTCACAGAGATCCGCCTGGCTCTGCCTCCCGAGTGCTGGGATTAAAGGTGTGCGCCACCACCGCCTGGGAGGCACTTTTTCTTTCCGGGGATCAATGACTGTGTTCTCCACAGCATCTAAAGGGGTACGGATTTCCCCGAGCACAGACCCGAGTTTTCCTTACTGATGTCCTCACTAGTGCAAGGCGACCGACCCTTCTTACCCGTGAAGAAGTACAGGAAGTGCACATCTGAACAGCAGTGAAAGGGTTGTTTCCATCCAACCGCATTGCACAGAGGAGCGCTTATATCGACTTTGAGGCGGAGTGGAGCTTGACGCTGCAGGAAGAGGCGACAGCCATTCTCTACAGGGGTAACACCATGGGGTGAACTCAGACGCAGCGGGCACCGTCCGCACGCATCCGGCTGTGGACCGGAAGCGGGCCTGAACGCGGCGAGTGCGGGCCCAAGACTGCGCGCTTGGTTTCCACAGCAACAGCGCGGGCGCGCGGGCTGCGCTTGCGCAGCTTCTCGCCCCGCCCCGGCTGGGACGGCAAGGGGCGGGGCCGAGGGCGGGCTTCCCGGGGACCTGGTGGTAACCCAGTGCGGGCGCTCAGTGGGTCCTAGGGGACTTGCCCGCGGAGCGCTCCGTCCCCGTCACCGGGCCGGCGGGAGTGCGCGCTGCGGCGTGCGCAGCCTCCTTCGGCCCCCGCAGCTTGTAACGCGCGCCCCTCCCGGGCGTCGGCGCTCCGGCGTCCTGGCTGCCCGCGCCCTGGCCTGGCTGCTCCTCTGGGCGGCTGGGCTGGTCGGCAGGCTCGCCGCGGACCTCAGCGATGTCCCCTTCAGCTCTGGTAAAGGGCCGGGGGGCGGCTGAGGGGGCGCGCGGAGCTGGGGCGGAGGTGGGACGGAGGTGGGGAGCAGCCGTGGCGCCTCAGCCCCGCGGTTTGCCGAGGTGTTACGGGTACCAGGGGCGGGAGGAGGGTAGCAACAAAGGCCGCGTGCGTCGCTCCCCTCCCTGCCTCCCTGTGATCTTTGCTCGGGATTCCATCCCGGACGTCGGAGCCGGGCTTTGTCCTTCCGAGGAGGGACTGGCCACACTGTGACAAAAGTACTAAACAAGTCCAGCCACGAAGCGTCTTGGGATGCTTAGGGTGGTACCCCAGAAGCTGCTTTGTGCTGCCTGAGAGGCCAGGGAACCCTTCGCGTCCCAGGAGGTGTGAGAATGCCCCAACAGCGTGTAAAGGTGAAGGGGTGAGCTGGTGTGTTGAGTGACAGACTTCTAAGGGAGATGCAACACACACACACACACACACACACACACACACACACACACAGGTCTACTCACCCCAGAAAGGTAGCCTTTGTACACACCTATTAAGTGATGAACTAGGACCTGGATCCAGACAATCCAACTCCAGTGACGATATTCTCAACCTCCACGATGTACTACTGGAAATAGATTTATATGTAGCTCAAACTGCTTGCATTGAAAAATTTTACCTTGCTGTTAGATGGTTAGATTTTTCTAGCAAGTAAAGCATATTCTAGTAGTTATTTTCTAACTATTTAATATTTCTTTTAGTATGTTTAATTTTTAACATCTTGATTTTTTTTTTGTAGGTATAAGGGCCACTTGTTCTGAAATCATTTTGAGGCAAGAATTTTTGAAAGATGGTTTCCACAGGTAAGTTGCCCATTGATTTCTACTTATATTAAAATACTGGCTCAAGATTTACAACAAGTAATTGATAGTTGAAATATGGATAAATTGAAAAATTGTTTCCATTTTTGTTTGTTTTGAGAAAGGGTCTCATATAGTCCAGGCTGGCCTCAAATTTGTTATGTAGTTTGGAATAACCTTGACTTCCTTGATCCTCCTGCTCATTCAAGTGCTGGGATTACAGGTGTGTGCCACCAAGCCTGGCTGTTGCCTCTCTCTCTCTCTCTCTCTCTCTCTCTCTCTCTCTCTCTCTCTCTCTCTCTCTCTGTTTTTATTTTTTTGAGACAGGGTTTCACTGTGTAGCCCTGGATGTCCTGGAACTCACTCTGTAGACCAGGCTGGCCTCAAAACTCAGAGATTCACCTGCCTCTGCCTCCCGAGTGCTGGGATCAAAGGTGGGCACCACCACTGCTTGAGACAAAGTATTGCTGTATAGCTCAGGGTGGCTTGGAGCTTAAGATGATCCTACTGACTCAGCCTTCCAACTTGCTGGAATTGTAGGTGTATACTATGATTCCTGGCTTATTTTGCTTTTATTATTATTAATTAATTGTCTTTGAAAAAAATCACTTCCCAGCATTTTGTTTATGATCAAATATATTTTGCCTCTTTTTTTTTTTTTCTTTTTGTAGAATTTTGCTCCCGGAAAGCTAATTCCGGACGGATAAGTCCTTTCCCTTCTGGCTTGTTCTTGACTTCGTTGTGTGACCTTTCGCTTTGATAGCCTTTGTCTCCAGTGACTGTATGTAACATGCCTTGGTGTGGTTGTGTGTGTGTGTGTGTGTGTGTATTTCCTGCTTGAGGTTTGCCGAGCTGCTTGGATTTATGGAATCATAGTTCTCATCAAATCTGGACAACGTGGGGCCGTATGCCCTCTCTGTGTCCTTCTCTGTCTTTCCTGGGTGCCACTGAAGCAGTTCCTATATGCGCGCTTTATTTCGAGGTCGCTGCTTCAGTTCCTTCTTCCCTGTCAAGTCCTTTTTTTTTTTTTAAATTTTTATTTCATGCACATTGGTGTTTTGCCTGTATGTATGTCTGTGTGAGGATGTTGGATCCTCTGGAACTGGAGTTACAGATAGCTGTGAGTCACCATGTGGGTGCTGAGAACTGAACTCAGGTCCTCTGGAAGAGCAGCCAGTGCTCTTAACCACTGGCTCTCTCCAGCCCCCACCTGCCTGTCTTTTTTCTTCTTTTTTTTTAATTAAGTAATTTTTTTCATTCGTTTTTACACTATTTTTCTTCTCTTTTTTTTTTTTTTTTTTTTTTGGTTTTTCGAGACAGGGTTTCTCTGTGTAGCTTTGTGCCTTTCCTGGAACTCACTTGGTAGCCCAGGCTGGCCTCGAACTCACAGAGATCCGCCTGCCTCTGCCTCCCGAGTGCTGGGATTAAAGGCGTGCGCCACCACCGCCCGGCCTTTTCTTCTCTTTTATACTCCAGTTTTCATGGTTTTCTGTGGCTGTCTCCAAGTCATCGGTCTTTTATTACTCATTGTTTAATTGCTTTTAATCACACATTTAAAATTTTTATTTTTACGTATTTTGAAGTTACAGTCCAGTCTTTAAAAATTAAAAATGAAGTTGGGCTGTTAAATGGCTCAGTGGGTAAAGGTGCTTGCCACCAAGCCTGATGACCTGAGTGGGAGCCCCGAGACTAACATGGTGGAAGGCGCGAGCTGACCCCCACAAGGTGTCTTCTGACACTCACATGTGAGCCATGGCAGGTGCTTTATAAACACATTAAATTTTTTCGTTAGATTTATTCATTTTATTTTATGATCTTTTGCCTGCACGCATGTATGTGTGGCATTGGATCTCCTGGAACTGGTGTGACCCACCACGTGGGTGCTGGGAATCAAACCCGGGTCCTCTGCAGGAGCAGCAAGTGCTCTTAATCTCTGAGCCATCTCTCCTGTCCCATATAAAGACTTTTAATGGTCACCTGCCGTTCCATTTCTGTCTTACCATCATAAAGAAAAAAGGTTTCTTTAGGCTCCTTATTCTGAAGGCATAAGGTTTGAAGTTAGGGTCTCTCGTGCCGTGATTAAACACTTGAACCAGAAGCGACACAGGGAGGAAAGGGTTGATTCATCGCAGCGACTCTCAGGTCCCGCTCCATCACCCAGGGAACTCAGGCAGGAACCTGGAGGCAGGAGCTGAAGCAGAAACCATGGAGGATGCTGCTTACAGGCTTGCTCCACATGGCTTGCTCAGTTTGCTCTCTTGTACTGTTAAAAAAAACTCCCCCACAGACTTGGCCTGCAGGCCAGTCTCATGTAGGCATTGTCTCAGTCGAAGTTTCCTCCTCCCATCTGACCTTGGCTTGTGTTCATTTGACAAAAACAAACAACAACAACAACAAACCCCAGAAAACCCTAACCAGCCCAGAAGGCCGCACCTGGTAGTGGCTTTCCTGCTGACCAAATCTAAAGGTAGCACAGGACATCACACGACAAGGCAGAAAGCAGCAGGCCCACGCTGGCCTCTTCCTGCCGACGTTTTCTGGTAGTTGCTCATATTTTCTGGGCTCTCGACATGTTTAGTCGTATTTGATTGATCGCTGAACCCGGACAAAGCCCTGATGTTTGTCGACTTAGTTTTCTTCCTTTCAAGACTGTTGGGCTCCTCCTGCTGCCTGTAAAGGTTTTCACTGATCAGCTTGATCCTGTCAACTTGGTGTTTGTTGAGTTCTCAAGTTACAGTGGTCTTCGCTGTGGGGCTAATTTGTCTAAGTCCCCTGTTGTCTAAGTCCCCTGTTGGGGACTCCCTGATGCTTCTGTTTATGTTTGATTGGTCAGAACTTGAATGCTTTCTGATCATGCATGAGATTTTGGAATGTTTTACTTTTCAGCTCCTTGGTCACTTTTTTGTTCAATATTCTGGACTTCTTGTTTATGTTTAGCATTTGGCAAAAACAAGAAATTTCTAGTTGGATTTTTTTTTTGAACTTAAAAAAAATGATTTTATTTATTTTTCTCTCATACCATACATCACAACAGCAGCCCCCCCCCTCCATTTATTTTTAATATAATCTCCTTTCTGGATTTAGTTCTGTGACTTCCCAGCTCCTTCAGTCTCTGGCAGCCCGTCTTGCTGTTTCCTTAAGCAAAAGCACCATGCTGTGCTTGGGTCCTCTCTGCACTGTGGTCCAGAGTTTGCCTCTGGACAGAGCTGGGGCAGTTACACATCTCATTTCATATCATTGTTTTGTTTGTTTTGAGATAAGATCTCACCAAATAGCCTGGGCTGGCTTTGAACTTGGAGAGATCCTTCTGCATTGGCCTGAGTGCTGAGATTGTGTGTACCGGCTCTCCCAGTTTATAATCTGTTTTAAAATGTGTGTACATGAGTGCAGGTGTGTGTACCTGTGGGCATGAGTATGTGAATGCAGGTGTGTGTACCTGTGGGCATGTGTATGTGAATGCAGGTGTGTGTACCTGTGGGCATGTGTATGTGAATGCAGGTGTGTGTACCTGTGGGCATGTGTATGTGAATGCAGGTGTGTGTACCTGTGGGCATGTGTAAGTGAATGCAGGTGTGTGTACCTGTGGTCTGTGTATGTGAATGCAATTGTGTGTGTACCTGTGGGTATGTGTATGTGAATGCAGGTGTATGTACCTATGGGCATGTGTATGTGAATGCAGGTATGTGTACCTGTGGGTATGTGTATGTGAATGCAATTGTGTGTGTACCTGTGTATTGGTGAAATTATTAAGGCCACTCCACGTAGTTAAAATGGCTACCCACTACACCTGTGGGTATGTGTATGTGAGTGCAGGTGTGTGTGTGCCTGTGGGTATGTGTATGTGAGTGCAGTTGTGTGTGTACCTGTGGGTATGTGTATGTGAATGCAGTTGTGTGTGTACCTGTGGGTATGTGTATGTGAATATAGGTGTGTATACTTGTGATATGTATATGTGAATGCAAGTGTGTGTACCTGTGATATGTATATGTGAATGAATGCAGGTACTTGAAGAGAGACATATGACCCCCTATAGCTGGAGTTACAGACTGTTGTAAACCACCTGGCATGGGCACTGGAAACTGAACTCAGGTCCTCTGAAGAGCAGCACTCTCTTAACCATGGAACCATCTCCAGACCTAAGTTAATTTTTGTAGATGGTTATGAAGTAATCGCTCTTTTTCTACAGTGTCAGTACCATTGTTGAAAAGACATTGGTTTCCTGTCAAATCATATTAATTCTTTTCTTGGAAATGTTAATGCATGTGTGACTACTTTTGGGTTTTATTCCTTTCTATTGATCTCATCTGTGGTGGGTTTTTGTTTTGTTTTGTTTTGTTTTTGTTTGTTTGTTTTTTTTCTGAGACGGGGTTTCTCTGTGTAGTTTTGATGCCTGTCCTGGAACTCTGTAGACCAGACTAGCCTTGAACTCACAGGAATATCCCTGGCTCTGCCTCCCGAGTGCTGGGATTAAAGTCATGCTCCACCGCCGCCTGGCCTTTATCTGTTTTTACATTAATGCTGTGCTATGACTCCTGACATGAGTTATGAGACATCTAATGGGTGATCTCTTATGGTATAAGTATTTCATTTGACATGATAATCTACTTTTGGACAATGAATTTGAAATATAGTGTCTGTGCTATTCTGGATGTAATGTTAATCTATCTTATTTAATAACTGAGTGGAGAGATTTACTTTAAATGCCCTTATCTTACAGAGACCTTGTAATAAAAGTGAAATTTGGAGAAAGCATTGAGGACTTACAGACTTGCCGGCTCTTAATTAGACATTACATCCCAACAGGATTTTTTGTGGATCCGTATGAGTTGGCTTCATTACGAGAGAGAAACGTAACAGAGGTACAGTTATTGGGGGATTTTTAAAGAGAAATTAATACAGGAGTGCTGTGATTAGATTAAGGTAAAATGGTAGATAAGACAACATTGTAGTTTAAATTTTGTTAAAGTTTCTGAGTCCTTTTTTTTGCAATAGCATAGGTGAATTCTTCAATAAATGAGCGACAATTGTCAGGATTAAGCCAACTAACCTGAGGTAGTTGAATGCTTTTCATTGGTATAGTTCATAGTTCAGTGACTAAGGAAGTTAGTGTGTGTGTGTGTGTGTGTGTGTGTGTGTGTGTGTGTGTCTGCATCTAAGAAGATTAAGGATTGCTAAATAGTACTCAGCTTTGTTAACAGGAAAGACATACTGGCTTTTTGCTTTACTTTTTAGTGTGTATGTGTGCTTGCATTTGTGCATATACCTATACACGTACATGTGAAGGCCACAGGTTGACATAGGATATGTTCCCTCTCTCTCTCCCCATCTTATTTTTTGTGGCTGGGTCTGTATTAGTTACTTTCCTAATGCTGTGATAAAATACCAGACCAAGACAACTTATAAAAGAGATTTTTTTTTTCCTTGAACTGAGGACCGAACCCAGGGCCTTGTGCTTGCTAGGCAAGCGCTCTAACACTGAGCTAAATCCCCAGCCCTATAAAAGAGATTTTAATTGGGATTATGGTCCCAGATGTTAGAGTCTGTGGCGGCTGCTGTAGCAGTAGCTGAGAACTCATCCATAAGCAGAAGGCAGAGGCACAATGCTGGGGTTGGGTGGAAGCTTTTGAAACCGAAACACCTACACCAGGGACACACCTCCAATAGGGGCACACCTCCTAACCCTTCCCAGATAGCCACCAACTGTTCCCAGGCGTGTACCACCACGCCCAGCATAACAACATATTTCTAAAGGAAGTAAAAAATAGCAAATTAAAGAAAAGTGAAAATACACCCTCACAATTAGTAGGCTGCTAAAACTACTTAAGAAGAAATTCATAGCCCTAAATGACTAAAAAAGTAGAAAGATCTGAAATAAATAATTAAGGTTCTGAGCTTGGCAGTGGTGGTGCACACCTTTTATCCCAGCACTCGGGAGGCAGAGGCAGGCCGATCTCTGTGAGTTCAGTGCCAGCCTGGTCTACAAAGTGAGATCCAGGACAACCAGGACTGTTACATAGAGAAACCCTGTCTCCAAAACAAAACCAAAATAATAATAATAACAACAACAACTAAGGATCTGGAGAGAAGGCTCAGTGAGTAAAAGCACTTGCTATACAAGCATGAGGGCCTGAATTCAAGTCCCACAACCCGTTAATCCAGGTGCTGATAGCAAGCATCTGTAATCCAGTGCTTCTATGGGGGAAGGGGAGGCAGAGAGAGGAGCATCGGAGGGGTGCTGGGAGCTCACAAGCCAGCGAAGCCACCATAGCAGTGTCCCAAATAAGTTGGAAGGCAAGGACTGATCTCACACACACACACACACACACACACACACACACCGCAGACAAAAAAGACCTCGGCTTCCTAAATGCTGGGATTATAGGTATGTGTCACCATGTCTGGCTTTAGTTCTAAAACATTTAATTTTTGTTTGTTTTCGTTTTTTGAGACAGAGTCTGACTATGTAGCCCCGGCTAGCCTTGAACTCATAGAAGTCCACCTGCTTCTACCTCTCAAGTGCTGGAATTAAAGGCATACACCACCATGCTGAGCTCTTAGCACTTTTTAAAAAACACATAATTTTTATTTTATTTTTTAAAACTTTTATTTTATTTTTAGTTGTGTATACATATGTGTGTGTGTTGTGTGGATATGTGTATGTATGTGTGGGTGCCTATGGGGACCAAAAGAGGAATTAGATCTTTTGGAGCTGGAGTTATAGGCAGTTATGAGCTGACCAACATGGGCACTGTGAACCAAACTCAGGTCCTCCATAAGAGCTTTTAACCCCTCACTGAGCCGTCTCTTTCTGTCTCTCTCTGTCTCACTGTCTCTCTCTCTCTCCAGCCCCTATTTTATTTAGTGTTGTGTGCAGGTGTGCATGCCATGGCACACATGGAGAGAGTAGAGGACATTTTTTTTTAAAGATTTGTTTATATTTTTATTATTGATAATTATATATGTGTCTGTGTGAGTGTACGTGTGTGGGTGTCCACAGAGTCAAGAAGAGGGTGTTGTCAGATCTTTTGGAACTAGGGTTCACAGGCATTTTTGAGCTATCCAGTGTGGACACTTGGATTCCAGCACTGGTCTAGAAGATGGAGAAACACGTACTGTTAACCGCTGAGCCATCTCTTCAGGCTGGTGAAAACCTCTGGGAGTCAGCTCTTTCCTTCCACTGTGTGTTCCAGAGTTTGAAGACTTGCATGGCTAGTCCTCCTATCTATGGAGCCATCTCTCGGAGGTTTAAAACAAAAAATGTGATTTGCGTAGGGCGGTGGTGCACGCCTTTGATCCCAGCACTTGGGAGGCAGAGCTCTGTGAGATCAAGGCCAGCCTGGTCGACAGAGCGAGTTCCAGGACAGCCTCCAAAACTACACAGAGCAACCCTGTCTCGGGGGTGGAGGGTGGGTGGGGGGATGGATGTAATTTGCTGGTTGGGAATGATGGTGGATGGTACATACCTATAATTTTAGCACTTGGTAGGGCGAGGCAGATTTTCAAGTTTGTGGCCAGCCTGCGCTGTAGAGTAAGTTCAAATCCAGCCTTAGCTAAACAGTGAGACACTGTGTGTGTGTGTGTGTGTGTGTGTGTGTGTGTGTGTGTGTGTGTGTGTGTGTGTGTGATTTGTTTGAAGTGGTTAAATGTTGTTCAGTGGTAGATCCCTCACCTAGAGTGTATAAAGCCTGGTTTTGAGCCCCAGCACCACAAGAACGAAGCTGTTTTTCACCTCTCCGTCATATCCCCGCTCTAGAAAGTTGCTGATCTTTGTTCGGCTTCCTGCCTGCCGTACTCACTACCATTTTACTTCACCAGAGAACAGGAAATGGCCAGGATGATACCAGTCATTTTAACCTAACACAAGCCAAATGGTTTCTGTCCTGGTTGTTCCCTAGTTTACTTTCATTATTCGTGGATCACATCCTGTGTTTTCTACATACAAGTGAGGATGAAAAGGGAATGGAAATGGCCTATAACAGGAATACACTTGATGTCTCTGCCTATCTGTACAGCAGTTTCTGGGTTTTACTTTTGTATTTTATTTTATTTCTTTTTTATTTTTCTTCATTAGTATTTCTTCTTGATTAATATTTGTTTTCTCTTCAACAGGCAGTGATGGTATCAGAAAGTTTTAATATAGAAGCCCCCAACTATTTGTCCAAAGAATCCGAAGTCCTCATCTATGCACGACAAGATGCACAGTGCATCGATTGCTTCCAGGCCTTTTTGCCTGTGCACTATCGCTATCATCGGCCACATAAGAAAGATGGAGACACCCTGATTGTGGTCAACAACCCAGAGTTACTGATGTACTGTGACCAAGGTGAGGGTTGACAAGAAGAGTAAAGATGTGGTGGCAGGCCTTAGTCAAGGACAAGAATGGCAAATGTCTTCCTTTGTTAACTTGTAGTGAATTGTTGTAAGACAGATACCTCTAAGTACCACCTAGGTCAGGAAATGAAACTTTACAGGCCTGTAAGATGGCTCGGCAGTGAAGGTGCTTGCTAAGCCTGACCAGCCGCATGCATGATCCATAGACCCACATGGTGGAGGGAGAGCCCAGCTCCTGCATGATGTTCTCTGACCTCCATATGTGTGCAAGGTGCACATGTGTACACACACACACACACACACACACACACACACACACACACACAACTGTAACAAAACATTTTAGAAGAAAAACAACTTTTCCACTTACTCTGGCAGCTAGCCCATGTGTTCTGTCTCTATTACAGTCTCCTCTTTCCTCTGAAAGACTGACTGAGTTTCCTGACTTGAACACTTGCTTCCTCTCTGAAGGTTTTTAACATTCTGTGTATGTTTGTGTGTCTCTGTGTGGGTATGTGAACCTGTGAGTACAGTGCCCAGGAGCCAGAAGCAGGTGTCATATCTAGAACCAGAATCAAAGGCAGTTGTGAGTCACCCACCATGCATGCTGGGAACCAGGTTCTCAGGTGCTGTGGAAGAGCGAGAGGTGCTCGTAATCTCCGAGCCTTCTTTCCACCCCCAACCCTCACTTCCTTAATGGGCATGACTCTTTTGGGGGGCAGGCGATTTCGAGACAGGGTTTCTCTGTGTATCCTTGGCTGTCCTGGAACTCATTCTGTAGACCAGGCTGGCTTCCAACTCCTGCCAAGTGCTGAGATTAAAGGTGTGCGCCACCACCGCCTGGCAGTGAGCATGATTCTTAAATACTATAATTTTAGTCTTGTCCATAACAACAACAAAATGTTGTTTCTATTAAGTTTCTTTAGTTTTGTTTCCCTTGTATCTCTCTCTTTTCTTTGAAATTCTTTTGAAAGGCCCATTGACCTGAAGGTTTCTTTCTTACGGTTTGGGCCTTTGTGATTGCACTCATGTAAAACTCTTGTTTTCTGGAATTGGCTAATGACTCCAGAGATAGGATCAGATTCATTCATGTTTGCTTCCTTTGGTAAGACCATAGGTAATACTAAGTCCTTTTATGAGTAGACATGTAATATCTGGTTATTTCTCTTTTCAGGGGAAGGGAATGAGAGAGGATCTTCCTGTGTAGGCCACTCTTGTCTTAAACTTTCTTTGTAGCTCACAGCCCAGCCTTGAAAGTCTTGATCCTTTTGTCCCATATTCCTGAGTGTTGTCTCCTTTTTATAGTGATCTACCTCCCCTTTGCTGCTTTCTGTTTTGTTTTTAGACTTACTTTATGTATGAGCGTTTGCTTGCATGTATGTATATGCACCACATATGTGCCTATGGGTGTTTGTGAGCTACCCTGTGGGAGCTGGGCACTAGACTTGGGTCCTCTGTAAGAAGAGCAAATGCTCTTGAACTGCAGAGACCAGTCCCTGCTTTCTGTTTTTAAAACTGGCTTATAGGACTTAGAGGGGTTTGTGCTTCGTTTCTTCTGTCCTGTGCTGTGTTGGTGGGGATACTTGATCACCTACACTGGTTGCAGACTTAGTTCATGAGCTTTGAGAATCACTCTGCAGTTGTGTTTTTGTGTGGAGATTTGGGTAACTTACAAAACTACTCTTGCTGGGTTTGGTGGTGCACACTGTAACCCCAGTCCTCTGGTGGTCTAGGGTAGAAGGATAAAGACTTGGAAGGCATTTGGACTGGGCAGTGAGCCCCTGTCTCCAAAATACAAGAGAGTGTGGAGACAGGAGGATCAGGAGTTGAAGACCATCCTCACCCATGCAGTGTGTTCAAGGCCAGTTTAGGCTGCTGGAAATTGTTGTGAAACAAGACTAAAAGTCCTCTTCTTTGACTGTTTCTTCACAGTAGCTCAGAGTCAAGGCATTTTTTGTAGTTTGAGAAGCTCTTTCAAATTTTGATTCTTCCTAGTCTTTAAATGTGGGTTACTTAGGAAAGCTAACAACATTGTTACTAATAACCAGTAGAGGGAATTTTTAGTCTTATGTTGTCACTGGGAAGCCTTTCCTTATGAGAATATTCAAGGCTTTTTCATTCTATTCACGTTCTTTATCCAGGCATGTTTTCTGTTCCTGTTAATGACACCATTACTTGTCCTAAATAAGCTTTGAAGAAGTGTTTCTCCTGAGAGAACACAGAGAATTCTGATAGTTTGTTTTGATCTGAGTGCTCTTTGTATTAATGTTTGATATGAAAATTTATCAGGCTGTGTACTGAAGATGTGTTCGTTTTTCTGAATATAATTCATATCCTTCAGAAGAGGTTTTTGAAACAATGTCTTTTTTTTTCCTGAAGTGATGCTTCAAAAAAAGGTAACATTACACTTTTAATGAAATCTGTAAACAAAATGTGTTTCATTTCTGTGATCACGACTACAATCCCATATTGCTTGGGCATCCACATAAGAAAGGACATCAGCGTACCATCATATGATGGATGTGGGTTCAAATCATCTGTGCTGTGTGTTGAAATGTTTGAATTCTCATATCCTAGCGTGCATGATTCCTGGTGAAGTGCAAGACAAGCTACAGCCTTGAATCCAAATACGAGTTTTCTGAGATCTTGTTTTCTCCCTTTTTTCAGAGTTTCCTGTTTTGAAATGCTGGGCTCAGTCAAAAGTGGCAGCTCCCTGTGCTTTGAAAAGTGAGGAGATCTGCCAGTGGAACAGCATGCAGTATAAATCAGTAAGATGCTTTGTGCTGCTCTTCAATGGCACTGCCTCGCTTCCATGTCTTTCTGTAAAGGGTCAGCATGTTGTAGTCCATACAGAGCACTTTTGTTGTTTTAATATTGTTCCTTTGCTACTGGTGGCTGCAGTGGGTAAAGTCAGTATTCTTTGAATTGGGGGCTGGTAGTCAGTGAGTCCAGGCCTCATTGGTTCAGAGTGTCCGTGTAGCTGGTATACTTTGTAAAGGTGTGAAATGGCAAAGACAAACAGTGCAGAGTCATTCAGTTTTCCTTCAGCAGGAAGATCAGAAATTTAAGGCCACCCTCAGCTATATAGTGAGTTTAAGGCCACTCTGGGCTGTATGAAAACATGTGTCAAAATAACACAAAACCAAAAAAAGAACGTACTGTTTTTAGAAAAGGAGGTCCCAGGATGTAGGTTACTGGTAGAGTGCTTGATAACATGTGAAAGACACTGGGTTTGTACCTCAAAATATAAAAATTAAAAATTTAAAATGGAGAAAAGGCCAAATATGATATAACATGTCTATAATCCCAGCACTCAGGAGGTTATAGCACAAGGAATGTGAGTCCCAGGCCAGCCTGGACTACATAGGGAGTTCAAGGTTAGACCCTGTGTAGGGGACCAGCCCTCACACTTATTTACCCCAGGAACTCTTGAGGAATGAGGGATAAGAGACTTAGTTAGAAATAGAGAGAGATAAAAAACACAGGATAGACTCAGGTGGGCCTGGATCCTTATCCACTGGCCCAGAATTGTATTCCAAAGGTCTGTTTATAACAATGCCAAGGGGTGGAGCAAAAGACCTCCCCCTTGCTAGTTAGACCCTTACAAACACCAAGTACCCAGGCCGGTGGTCCAATCAACCTCCCGTATAGTCCTGCTGGGTACAGCCACTAGGAAACCTATTGGGTTCAAACAACTCTGTCTCTTTCTTTTTAATTTTCCTTGTTATTTATTATTTGTGTGTGTGTGTGTGTAGGTGTGTAGGTCAGAGGACACTTTTAGGAGTTAGTTATCTCCTTCTACCCAGGGTTTCTTTCTCTTCTTGTGTTTTTTTTTTTTTTTTTTCTTTCTGAGACGGGGTTTCCCTGTGTATCCCTGGCTGTCCTAGAACTTGCTCTGTAGACCACGCTGGCCTTGATCTCAGATCCGCCTGCCTCTGCTCCTAAGTGCTGGGTTAAAGGCATGCGCTAACATGGCCTGGCATAGCCACCACCACACAGCAAGGGTTCCTTTCACTGTGGGTTTGGAGCTCAAACTCAGGATATCAGATTTGGATAGCAATACGTGCTTTTACCCACTGAGTTATCCTGTCAGTAAGACCCTGTCTTTTAAGAAAAAAAAGTTAGAATTAATGTAAACTTTTGAGTTATGAGAATCAAAGAAATATTCTCACCATGAGATATGCATTTAAGTGAATCTAATTTTTTTTTTTTTTTTTTTGGTTTTTCGAGACAGGGTTTCTCTGTGAAGCTTTGCGCCTTTTCCTGGAACTCACTTGGTAGCCCAGGCTGGCCTCGAACTCACAGAGATCCGCCTGGCTCTGCCTCCCGAGTGCTGGGATTAAAGGCGTGCGCCACCACCGCCCGGCTGAATCTAATTTTTCTTAGGTTTTTTTTTTTTGAGACAGGGTTTCTCTATGTAGCCCTGGCTGTCCTGGAACTAGTTCTGTAGATCAGACTGGTCTCAAACTAAGAGATCTGCCTGACTCTGTCTCCCAAGTGTTGAGATCAAAGGTAGGAGCCACCACACCTGACTAAGAAAACTTTTAAGAATAAAAAATATTCTTTTAAAAAAGAAAGCAAAGCTGGGTGGTGTAGCTAGAGTTTTCCTGCCTGGCCCACAGTCAGGACAGATCTCTATTACCTGCCAGTCCCACAGCCGCTCAGACCCGACCAAGTAAACACAGAGACTTATATTGCTTACAAACTGTATGGCCGTGGCAGGCTTCTTGCTAACTGTTCTTACAGCTTAAATTAATCCATTTCTATAAATCTATACCTTGCCACATGGCTCGTGGCTTACCGGCATCTTCACATGCTGTTTGTCATCGTGGCGGCTGGCAGTGTCTCTCTGACTCAGCCTTCCACTTCCCAGAATTCTTCTCCTCCTTGTCCCACCTACACTTCCTCCTGCCTGACCACTGGCCAATCAGTGTTTTATATACTAACCAATCAGAGCAACACATTTGCCATACAGAACATCCCACAGCAGGGTGGTGGTGGCACATGCCTTTAATCTCAGTACTCAGAAGCAAGTGGATCTCTTGAATTTGAGGCCCACCTGGTCTGCAGAGCCAGTTCTTGGACAGCCAGGACTGTTACACAGAGAAATCCTGTCTTGAAACACACCCAGACACACACATGCAGACAGACAGACAGACACACACACACATTTCTTACACAATGTATATAGATAATATCTATCTACCACTGTGCCCCTCCAGCTCCCCCTAATGCCACACACCCTCCCAAGTTCATGTCCTCTTTTTTTTTTTTTTTTCTTTTTCCGAGACAGGATTTCTCTGTGTAGCTTTGCGCCTTTCCTGGATCTCACTCTGGAGCCCATGCTGGCCTCAAACTCACAGAGATCCCCCTGCCTCTGCCTCCCGAGTGCTGGGATTAAAGGCGTGTGCCACAGCCGCCTGGCTTTCATGTCCTCTTTTTAAAAAAATATTTATAAGCTGATGAATCTAGTCAGTGCTGTCCATGTACACATGGATGTGTGGCTGTGTGGCCATCCACAGGGGCATGAGCAACCTGCCAGTGACATGTTCCCAAAGGAGAGGGACTCTCCCTCCCTTAGCAGCCATCAGCTGCCTATAGCTCCTCCACTAGCAGTGAGGCCTCAGAGGCCCCTCCCCCAGCTGTGCTGCAGATTTCACTGGCTTGATCTTGCACATGTCTTGTGCATGTAATTCCAGCTGCTGTGAACTGATACAGGCAACAGGCATGTCCAGAAGTATGCATTCAAAGCTGTCTTCCACATATTCTGGCTCTTACATTCTTTCTGCCCTTCTTATGAGAAGTTCCTAGAGCCTTGAATGGTAGGAGCTTGATGTAGATGACCCATCCATGGTTGAGCACGCAGAATTATTAAATGTCTCTGATTTTCTGTTTCTCCCTCTCCACAGATACTTAAGAATTTGACCCTGCAAGTTCCTGTGGGACTGACTATACACACCACTTTAGTGTGTTCTGTGACTCTGCTTATTACCATCCTGTGTTCTACTTTGATCCTGTTAGCTGTTTTCAAATATGGCCATTTTTCCCTGTAAGTTTTATATAGTTAGATGTTTTCTAGGAACCTAATAAATGAGATCTATTCCTTTGTGACAAGAAGTGTTCTTTTCAGAATTAACTGGCTATTTTTTCTTTGTTTGTGGGTAAAATTATGTTTCCAGGCAGGTCTCTGTCAGTTTATGGCCAGCCTGGTCTACATTGTTAGACCCTGTCTATAAAACAAACAACAACAACAACAAAATTATGTTTCACACAGGAAATTTTGGGTCATTGCTAGCTAATTGCAAAATATAGTGTTCTGTGATGTGACCCTCAAGTGCTCTTGGGTGGTCTAGTGGAGGAGGCTTCCTCATGTTAGATAATACTTAGAAGTGGCTGTCTTCATTTGGTATAGAGTAAGTTCATTGTTAAGCTAGTTACTTGTATTTTATGTGCACTGATGTTTGTGTGTGTGTGTGTGTGTGTGTGTGTGTGTGTCTGTGTGAGGGTGTTGGATCCCCACGAACAGAAGCTCCAGACAGTTGCGAGCTGCTATCCAGGTGCTGGTAATGAACCTGGGTCCTCTGCAAGAGCAGTCAGTGCTCTTAACTGCTGAGCCATCTCTCCAGCCCCGAGTTCATTATTAGTGTCAAATTGTTCTCATTTTGTGAATAGAATCTTTTAATTTACACTAAACATAGAGACACCCTTACAATTAAGAATAAAATAATTTGGATGAAAATTAAAGTAATTTACAGTTGTTAAGACCATTTGCTGGCTGGGTGGTGGTGGCACGCGCCTTCAATCCCAACACTTGGGAGGCAGAGACAGGCAGATCTCTGAGTTCGAGTTCAGCCTGGTCTACAGAGTGAGTTCTAGGACAGCCAGGGCTACACAGAGAAACCCTGTCTCAAAAGACAAAAACAAAAACAAAAGCATTTACTGATCTTGCAGAATTCCTGTACTCACTTGGTGGCTCACAACCGTCTTCAACTCCAGTCCCAGAGGACCCCGTACCCTCTTCTGGCTTCCTCAGACACCAGGCACCCAAGTGGTGCACAGAGAGAACTGCGGACAGAACACCCACAGTCATCAAATTAAAACAAAAATTACATTTCAGTTTCATGAAAATACTAAAGCTACTTATATAGAGTTTCAGAAAAAATAAAGTTGGCAATTAAGCAGTTATTAATATAAGTCGGGCTAGGTGGCACATGCCGATCCCAGCACTGGGAGGTAGAGGCAGGCAAATGTCTTAAGTTTGAGGCCAGCCTGGTCTACAGCACTGGTCCAGGGCTCTCACCCACTGAGCCATTTCTTAAGCTGAGAGTCACTGTATTTCCTTTGACTATACAGATTAGCAAAGGGTTTGGGGAAAGTGAGCACTAGGACTTACCGATGAGTTTGTCAGACACCTCATCTGTTAACTCAGTTTTAGTTTTTTGAGACAAGAGCTCATGTGTTCCAGACTGGCCTGAAACTGGCTAAGTATATGAAAATGATCTGGAACTCTTGACCCTCCTGCCTTTGTCTCTCAAATGTTGTAATTACACATGTTGCCACCACCTCTGGCTCAGATTGTCATTTGAAAAAATATATTTTGGCTGGAGAGATAGCTCAGCAGTTAAGAGCACTGACTGTTCTTCCAGAGGACCAGGGTTCAATTCCCAGCACCCACACGGCAGCTCACAACTGTCTGTAATTCCAAGATCTGACACCCTCACACAGACATGCGTGCAGGCAGGCAGAACACCAATGCACATAAAATAAAAATAAATAAGTAAATATGTTTTATGAACTTACGTATTTACAAAAAAAGAAATCTTCAGGTGATTTTTTTAAAGGTGATTTTCTTTTTAAAACAGTTTTGATTTAGTGTTACACTTGGTGAAAACAAAATAACATAAATGCCACAGGCTAATTAACAAACACACTTCACAGCTAAGGGAGACGGTCTGGTCAGTGAAGTGCTACGCACGCACGCACGCACGCACGCACGCACGCACGCACTTGTGAAGACTTGAGTTCGTTCCCTATAAAACACTGTGTGGTGAGTGCTTATCGCTTCAGGCCTGAGGGCGGAGATCCCATGCTGGCCCAGACTGATTGGTGAGCCCAGGTCCCAGAGAAGAAATTTGGCTCAAAAACTAAAACACTAGGTGGATGGCTTCTGGGGAGTATCCACCCAAGATTGACATCCGGTCTCTACAGACACATGCACACACACACACACACACACACACATCTACCTTTTAGAGTAAGAGTGTTGACTGGGTGTGGTGGTTCACGCCTTTAATCCTAGCACTTGAGAGGCTGGGATTATTTTTATATTGAGTAATGGAAGATGATTAAGTGTTTATATACATATAATTACTTACTTTTCCAAAGTATTTTGGTGTTTTTATGAAAATAAATCTTTTATAATTTTACGCTTATGATTTGATTTGTCACAACAACCCTTACTGAAGTCATATTTGGGTTTAAATATTAGAAGAGGCAACCCAGTGCTATAAAGTTAGAAAATTAGAACTTTTTTTTTTTAATTTTGGTTTCTCCTACCCCTGCCTCTGCCTCGCAAGTGCTGGGATTAAAGGCATGTGCCACCACCAGAAATCTATAAAGTTTCAACCCAATCTAGTTCCATACCTGTTTTGTGTTTTTGTATAAGAATTCCAAGCTGGGTGTGGTAGCACCTGACTGTAGTTTTGTGCTAGGGTTCTAAGTCAAAAGAAAGAGCAGGAAAAAAAGAAAAAGAAAAAGAAAAAAAGGAGCAGGAGGAAAGTGGTGGCGCACGCCTTAATCCCGGCACTTGGAAGGCAGAGCCAGGCGGATCTCTGTGAGTTCGAGGCCAGCCTGGTCTACAGAGCGAGATCCAGGACAGACACCAAAACTACACAGAGAAACCCTGTCTCAAAAAACCAAAAAAAGAAGGAGCAGGACTTTGAGGGTTAGTTTGGACTACATAGTAACACTGTTTCGTGTATATGTGTATTTCATATGTATTTGAAATGCAAATATATATTTGATATTAATATATATGATATGAAGAAAAGTATTTTTTAAATAGTGGTTCTTTTCTTTTTTTTAATTTGTATTTATGTGCATTGGTGTTTTGCCTCCATGTATGTCTGTTTGAGGGTGTCAGGTACCCTGGAACTGGAATTACAGACAGTTGTGAGCTACCATGTGGATGCTGGGAATTGAACCCGGGTCCTCTGGAAGAACAGCCAGTGCTCTTCACTGCTGAGCCTTCTCTCCAGCCCTCTCAGCCTATGTTTTACAAGTGTGAACTATGGGATTAATAATGTGACATTGAAATGGGGATTACCTTTTTTTTTTTCTTTTTGGAGTGGGGATATGACATTTATTGAGTTTATCTGCTAGAGTGGAAATAATGTCTATAAACTTCCAAATGTTTGTTACTATACTTCCATAACACAATTAAAATCCAGGTGTTTTCTGCCAGGTGGTGGTGGCACACTCCTTTAGTCCCAGCACTCTGGAGGCAGAGGCAGGTGGATGTCTGTGAGTTCAAGGACCGCTAGGAGTACACAGAGACTCTTGACGGGATGGCATCCAAGTGTGTTTTTTTTGTTTTTTGTTTTTCCGAGACAGGGTTTCTCTGTGTAGCTTTTCGCCTTTCCTGGAACTCACTCTGTAGCCCAGGCTGGCCTCGACTCACCACCGCCCGACTCAAGTGGTTTTTAAAAAATAGTAAACTCAATCAAAACTCATTACTTCAGAATCAATAGTTTCTTTTAATTCACAATAATACTTAAATAGGATTTAAGAATTGAACGCAGAAATTTCATTGGTTGGTTGTTTGGAAAGCTGATTAAACTTCCAGCTTGCTCAAATAATATCACAAAAAGTCACAATTGTGGCTTCGAAGAGGCAGAGTCCACTAGATTCACCAACATTGGACAGCCATCAGGAATTTTTAGAGCTAGGCGTAGTGGCTCATGCTTCTAGTTCCAGCACTTAGGAGACAAAGGCAGGTGAATCTCTGTGAATTAAAGGCCAACTTGGTCGGCATAATGAGTTCCAGGACAGCCAGAGTTTTATGTTTTTGTTTAGTGAGTTTGTGTTTAGTGAGATCCTGTTTTTTTTTTTTTTTTTTTTTTTTGGTTTTTCGAGACAGGGTTTCTCTGTGTAGTTTTGCGCCCTTTCTGGAACTCACTTTGTAGACCAGGCTGGCCTCGAACTCACAGAGATCCGCCTGGCTCTGCCTCCCGAGTGCTGGGATTAAAGGCATGCGCCACCACCGCCCGGCGAGATCCTGTTTTGTTATCTTGTGTGTTTGTGTTTAGTGAGACCCTGTCCCAAAAATTAAACAAAAACCCCAGGCTATTTAGAGTGGGAATGGTGTTGGGGTTGACAGCTCCCACCTGTAATCTCGGCACTTAATAGAGAAAGATAATCAGGCTTTCAGGACTAGCCTTCACTCCATAGCCAATTCAAGGTCAGCCTGGACTACATGACACCTACTCACTCCTTAAAAAAAGAGAGAGAGAATTTAGTGTCCTGAGATAATACTTAACCAAGCATCCAAGACCTTTCTTTTGTTGTCCTTTCTTCCCAGTTACAGATTTGTGAAGGTGTAGCATGGTACCACCACTAGCAGTGGTGGCCTCAATCAGAGTCCAGTTCTTCATCTCCACCAGTAACAAGTTGTGAGTGGTGTGGGGTGATGTGCCTTACGTTTCAGTCTTTTGGTACATTTCCTGCCGCTTCTGACAACTCTGCAGTGAGGTACTCCAGGATGACTGCTCTCTTCTCAGCAGCAGCTGAGCCTGTCCACAGATGATCATCCTAAATTTCAGGGGTAGGTGAATGGAGGGAATTGCAAGCTGCCTTGCTCTGAGTGGGAAATCATTTTTGTCCTGGTCTTTCTAGAGCAGTGTTTTGTTTTGTTTTGTTTTGTTTGTTTGTGTTTTGTTTTTTGTTTTTCAAGACAGGGTTTCTCTGTGTAGCTTTGGTGCCTGTCCTGGATCTCACTCTGTAGACCACCAGGCTGGCCTCGAACTCACAGAGATCCACCTGGCTCTGCCTCCCAAGTGCTGGGATTAAAGGCGTGCACCATCAACACCCAGCCTTAGAGCAGTGGTTTTCAACCTATGGGCCTTGACCCCCAAAGACCATCGGAAAACACAGGTATTAGATTCATAACAGTAGCAAAATTACAGCTCTGAAGTAGCAACGAAGAGGAACTGTATTAGAGGGTCAGAGCATTAGAAAGGTTGAGTCCACTGCTCTAGAGTCTTACCAGGCCTTACCAGTATTTCTTTTGGAATCTGAAGCTCAAAAGAAGCAGGGTATGGGGCTTGTGAGATGGATTATAAGTAGAGTTACTTGGGCACAGGCCTAACTCTTCCTGAGTTGAATCCCAGGATCGCCAAAGTGGCAGGAGAGAACTGACTTCTGAGAGAGAGAGAGAGAGAGAGAGAGAGAGAGAGAGAGAGAGAAAATATACACAAGAAAGGAAGATTTATTTATGTATGTGAGTGCTCTACTTGCATGTATGCCTACATGACAAGAGTGCATCAGATCCTATTATAGATGGTTGTGAGCCATCATGTGGGTGCTGGGAATTGAACTCAGGTCCTCCGGAAGAACAGCCAGTGCTTTTAACTGCTGAGCCCTCTCTCCTGCCCCTGGAAGGAAGATTTAAAGATAAAAACAAAGCAGAGAGAAAACTAGTCATATAAAAACCTAGATCCTACTACTTACTCCTTTATCCTATGGAGAGTCAAACTGTATTAAAACTGTTTCTATTTTATTTTGTTTATATGTCTGAGTGTTTTGCCTGCATGAATGTATGTGCACCACATGTGTTCAGTACCCACGGAGGCCAGATGAAGGCATCAGATCCCCTGAAATTGGAGTTACAGATGGTTGTGAACTGCCATTTGGGTGCTGGGAGACCAACAGGTCCTCTGGAAGAGCAGCAGCTAGTGTTTTTAGTTGCTGAGCTATCTCTCTAGCCTTTCTAAAACCTTTATTTAATAAACTTCACCTTTGCTTAAATATGGATATGCATTGTGTGCATCCTCGTGAATGTAGCTGTGTATGCAAGTATGCATGTGTGTGCATATATGTGTGTGTATTTAAGTAAAATATTTGTTTTCTTCAGTTGAACCAAATTTTATCCGTCTTTAAGCATAAAGTTAATATTTAAGATTGTCTTATTATATAATCGAGTCTTGTATTCATTTATACGGGTTTCAAGAAGTACAAGAAAAACATGTGAATGACAACACAAACTTTGATATGACTCTCATTGCCTAATCAGTAAATGATGCTAAATTTGATATAAGCACATGTCTGTGTTTGGCCTCCTTAAATTATCTTCCTTTGATAGATACAAGTAGGTGTTTTATATTTTCAGTCAGTTTTGTAATTCCATGTGTGGTCCTTTTTGTGTCAGGCCAAGAGAATGGATCCTGCTGTCTTGTTCATTATGTCCTAGTATTTGTTCCACCTTTGTGATTTATTTATCTTAAAGAATTGTGTTAGGTTCTTTTGGATGCAGAAAACAGAAAAACAGCTCATCTCAATAGGTGTGGTGGTAGGGATGTGTATTAGTGTGTATCTTAGTTGTTTATCTATTTTGGAGAATGCTACATGCTTTAGGAACTAGAATGAGCTTTTGCAGCTCTAATGAGTTGGGATATAATGAATTTCAGGATTATTCTAGGGAAGCTACTTAAATGTTCAATGCTATTATTTGGAAATGGAATTAGAGTAAAGTGACCAACATCCATATCCCTCAGACATACATCCTAGCAGGTTCCTAGCAGGTGGCTGAAGTAGGATTTGATAAACTACAAGAGAGTGAATGCTATGCACCAAGTGTTCACTTCAGAATTGACCTAAGCAGTGATAGTTGTAGTTATTCATCTTATTCTCAGCTATTTTACCTTAATATCCCCCCCTTGGGTGTCATATGGCTCATCTGGCCTCCAACTCACTGTAACTCCCGAACCCCTTACCCTTCCTCTACCTCCCAGGTGCTGGGATTTCCAGCTTGCACCACTATGCCTGGCATGAATTATATCTTTCTAGATCTCTGTTGGTAATGTTTCTGTTTTAGTTTGATGATTTGGCTACATGTACATTTCTAGGTTTAGTTATTTCCCTCAGTACTTTCAGGTTTTTATTCCGTTACAGACTGGCACCCATGGTTGCTTTGGAGATAGAAGACTTACTGCCTCTTTGTAACAGGGTGTCATGTTATAGCCCAGGCTGCCCTCAGATTCACAGGTGTGAGTCACTGTGCCCAGCTAAGAAATGGGTGTGAATTGAGTAGTTGCTCATTGGTAGAGAACTGTTTGTTTGGGTTTTTTTTCCTGGTCGCTTTATCTTGGGTCTATATCTTTGGTAGTCTATAGCCTCACTGCCCTCTCCAGAGTAGCAATAAAACCCTAGAGATTTTCAAGGAAAGCTGGTATTTTAACCTCAACAAACATGGCTTCATTCACTCTGCTTTTCTCTTTGTTTTTGGGGCTGAGCCTGGGGTTTGGAGAACTACCAGAGGGGCATTCTTCTCTAGTGACCACTTCCCTCTGTTTCTGTAAGGGTGTCACATTCCAGCAAGTGCCCATAGGTTTGACAGTGAGAGCACTTCAAGTTATCTTGAGTCTTTTTCTCTGCTCTTCCTAGCAGTTTTTCTCGAAACAGAGAGCATTTTCTGGAATCCTCTTGGAATCACTCTCCCTAGTTCATTTCCCTCTCATTTTTTGGGGGGGGTGGGGCAGGGTGCAGGTGTGGAGGTTAGAGTTCTCTTCTACCATGTGGATTCTGGGGAATGCAACTGAGATGGTTAGTCTTGGTGGTAAGTACCATTCAGTACCTGCTGAGCTATCTAGCTGTCTAGCTGCCTGATAAGTATTTTTGTATCCTTGGTTCTAGGTTTCTCTGCTGATGCAATAAACCATATCAAGCTGAATTAAAAGTCCAGGGTTAATGAGCCAAGCACTCTCTCAGGTGACTCTCAAGCCCCCCAGAAGTGAGGGGGGTGGAATCACATGGCAGGTCTATGGACCAGAGCTTAAATACCCTGTAGGCTTGGTCTTGAGCAGCTCTGGGGAGAGGAGCCACGGCTTGTTGGGCTTTCAACTAACACTGCCCTGCCCCCCCCTTCCTCTTTTTAAAAAAAAAAAACAAAACTGAATTATTATATGTGATCCAGGCTGGTATTGAACATTTCTGCCTTAACCTCCCAAATGCTGGGATTGCAGGCATGCACCATCGAATCTGACAATCTAATGAGCTTAAAGGGTAAACCAGGTAACATTACTCCTGTTTAAAATTGTTTAATGGCTTCTTGAAGTAAAGTGCACACTTCTTACCATATCAATCCTGTCTGCTGTGAAGTTTGTTTGGCTTGGTTTTGTTTGTTTTTTGAGATGGGGTCTTGGTTTGTAGTCAGCCCCAAACTCAATTCCTCATCTAACCTCAGCCCCCCAAGTGCTGGAATTGCAGGTTTTCTCCATCATATCTGTTGTACTCCAGTGCACCATAATATACCCATCTTGCACCAAACTGCAGCTACACAGATCTTCTTATATTTTTGTTTGTGAGCCTAACTTTCAATGGCTGAGTCATCTCTCCATCTCTACATGGAGCTGAGGCCAGAACCCAGGGCCTTGCGCTTGCTAGACAAACGCTCTACCACTGAGCTCAATCCCCAACCCTCTGTGGGTCTTCTTAACTGACCTTGGCATTCCTTTTCCTTCCTGCCTGTAATCCTTTCCTCTATGTGTTTCTGGCTCTCTCTTTCTGTTTTCACTTTAAATATCACCTTCTCTGTCAAGTAATCTCCCTCAGTTTTTTCCTTGTAACATATCAATGCTTTGATTATTGTTTTCATTATTTATAAACTTTACAAAGACTAGGGAAAGCGTGTCCATCCTTGAATCCCTGGTACCTAAAGGTGTCTTTTATAGGCATTAGACACTGACATAATTGTAGAATAAGAATATATAGATTAACTCCTCCGTTGATAAAATATAGAGGTATTTGTTTGCAAATAGGGAAGACCTTATTTAGCAGCATAATCTGGTTTACTTTGTAGGTTAAAAAAAGTTAAATAATGAATGGATAAATTCTCAGAAACAAAGATCCTGTATACACAAACATGTATGGATCAGATGTTCTCCGTCAGCATCTTCAGTAGGTAAAACGTTACTGCAGACAATGCAGAATGCTGAATTAAATGAGGGACAAGCTTTCTCTAATCCCAAAACTACCTCCCGCCCGCCCCGCTCCAGCAAATGACTGGACTACGTTTCCCAGCAGCCCTGTGTGGGCCCGCCCCTCGGGAGTGACGCCACGGGTGGGGCGGGTCCGTGCTCAGGCCCCGCCCCTCGCCCTGCCACCGCCCTCCCCCAGGGTTGTGGCCACGCGCAGCAGCAGCGGTTGTTCCGCTTCCCCTCCGGCCCGGGCCGTCGCCATTGCCGAAGGCTCCTGCCCTCCCCTCCCTGGCCCGCGGGGCTCCGCGCCTCACGGCCTCGGTAGCGACGGCCGCGCCCCGAGCCGCTCCCCTCTGCCCTGCCCTCCTGCCTCTCTGCTGCCCAGCGCAGCGCTCGCCCGCGTCGGCCCGGCAGCCCGCCCCGGGACGGGCGGAGACCTTCCTTCCCTCTCTGGTAAGTGCGGACGCTCTCGCCCGGGCCCGGCCGCCGCCCTCCTCCCGCCTCCGCGGCCTGGGCCCAGCGGGCCGGGACGCAGGCACCTGCGAGCGGGCCTCCGGCTCCGGGCGGTGGCTCATTGTCTGCGCCCGGGCTCTCCTCGGCTTCGGCCGAGAGGAGGCTTGCCGGGCTGCGGGGACCCCTCTCTGCCCGGCCCCAGCCCCGCCGCCCTCGCCCCTCTCTGCCGCGGCGCTGCACCGGACAGCTCGGGTTTGTTCCTGGATGGTCCCTCCTTTACCAGCTGCGTTCGCTGCAGCCTTGTGGCTCCAGAATCCTGTCGCGAGCCCCTTAGGTTCCGTCTGTAAGCTCTTCCTCATTCTCCACATCAGGAGAAAGTTTTGCCGGGCTCCGGGACCCTCCGCTTAAGAAGAGAACTTAAGGATCTTCTCACAGTTTTTGCTTGATCTTCAGCCAGGAGGTGACTATTTGCTTCTTAAGGTTAACTTGCGTTGAGGTTGGCTTTTCACCATGTTTGGCTGTCTGAAACACGCGCGCCCTCCTTACTCACAAAAACGTTGCCGCAAATAACTTAGTGGACTCAACCTTTTGATTAGTTCTTCAGAGATCAAGTCATCCAAGACAGAAGTGTGTGAAATAATGGCTGTTGTGGCTTGATGGGAGGTTCTCCCTTATCCTTTATCTTAATTTAATAGGAATAGGTAGAGTGGGAGAGATTTGTTTCCTCTTTGATTAAAAAACAAAAAACAAAAAAAAAAAAACAGCTCCCATTGATAGCAGCCAGGTTCTTCTTTACAAGTGACCTGCCGATTTTCTGTCTTTTCATTTCTAACCATTTAAAGTCAACCAAACCGGTTAGGCCCAAAATTAGACGAACTGTGTTTTGGATGAAGGTTGTGCACGTCACGTTTTTCCCCTGCTGTTTGACTCTTCCGCTCATATAAGTAGGCAGGATATTGAAATAAATACACAAGAATTTGCTCTGGGGATTTTTTTTTTTTTTGGTAGAGTTATCCAAAAGAATAGTACGAATAAAATTAGGTTGGGATGAAGGCAGTGAATAGTAATTTTTAAAGCAGGTTAGGGCATGTCAACTCTGCCAGAAGCTCAGTGGCATTTGTAGAACATTCTTGCCCATCTGTACCCCAGCTCTTCAGTCGGTGTGTGTGTGTGTGTGTGTGTGTGTGTGTGTGTGTGTAAAAGGGAAGGCCCTTTTCATGTGCTTTTACATGTATCCTCTGCCTTTTTTCTAGACAGGGCTGCCTCATTCCTGCTCAGGCTGGCCTGACACTTCCTAGGAGGCTCAGCCTTAGGTGCTAGGCTCACACGTGTGAGCTAACCTATTTGGCAGCCTCTGCTTTTAAACCGTTCTAGAGATTAATTAGCCAGGAACATTATTGTACATTTACATCATGGAAACTGAATTTCATGTTGCTTAGATAGCTAGGTAGGTAGGTAGATAATCATTTTAAAGTAACTTTTGGATTTCGGTAAAAGAGGTTGACCTAAATTCAAAATGTTTTGTTGTTTTCACTAAATAGTCTATCATTACCTTTCCCTCTACTAGGCTGTGGGGAAAAACATGGCTCAGTACCGGGTACTGTCATCCATTGGTACTGTCAGTTGTTCTTACGTTAATGAGATGTCTTGGCATGAGGGGTTTAGATGTAGAAGTGTCGGGGAATGAAAAAGTGCCTTGAGGTCAGCTGCTGTTTTTTTCTCTTTTTTAACCCCTTGTACTGGATTGAACCAAAGCCCTCCCTATGATGCTAGGTCAGCACTCGATCACTGAGCTGCAACCCCAGCCCTCTTTAACCTTTGAGACAGTCTTGAACTCTGTGTGTTCTCCTGTCTCAGCCTCCCTAGATTCTGGGTTACAGACCTGCACCAACAGAAGGGCTCACTTCTTTCCAAAAGCAGGTGTCTGTTTATTTTTCTTTGGAGATCGGCTCTTTCCGTGTTACCCAGGCTTGTTGCAAACTCTTGGACTCAAACGTTTGTCTTGCATCAGGCTTCTAGTAACTGAGATTACAGGTGTGCACCATTGTGGTTGGCAAGCAGACATTAAAAAAAAAAAGTATTCTTGGATATTTCACTTCTCTTGGGGTCATGATTCTAAGTTTACCATCAGAGAAAAAGAGATTAATTCTTCTGGACCTTGTGTTATATGATACCAACGCTGCAAACCTAAATTTATGAAGTATAGTTTTTAGTTGATGTATGTCTGCTAAAGGAGTGGGGCTTCTCATATTTCTTTGATCTTTATCATAGGCAGGTTTCCAAGTAGACATGATGAGGGGTAGTTTATATTTCAGTTCAATTACATGTTTTAAATGAGGGAACTTAGAACTTGTTCTGGTTAGTTAAGAATAAACTTTGAATTATACTTTCACAGAACTCAAGAGCTTGTATAGGTAGCAAGTAGGTATGGTTGAATCCTTACTATCATTATCATTATTGATTATTACAGTAATAATGTTCAGTATGCATTTCTTTTGGCTTTCTGAGATTTCTGGTTTTGGTTTAAATTGGACTGTGGTTCAAGTCTTGAGACTAGATCAGGTTCACCCGCCACTCACCCGTCACACACCCACCACTCAAGTGCTTCTAGTTACAGTATTAACTGATTCTTGTCTAATGAGAAGGAGGTTGTTACTTGCAAATTGTGCTTCTGAGTTCTTCTTGTATATATATTTTTTAAATATTCATTGATGTTTTGTCTGTATATATGTCTGTGTGAGTGTGTCAGAAGTCCTGGAACTGGAGTTACAGGTGAACTGCCATGTGGGTGGTGGGAATTGAACCTGGGTCTTCTGGACCATCTCTCCAGCCCTCCTTTTTTTGTTTGTTTTATTTTTATTTATTTATTTATTTATTTTTTTTGGTTTTTCGAGACAGGGTTTCTCTGTGCAGCTTTGCGCCTTTCCTGGAACTCACTTGGTAGCCCAGACTGGCCTCGAACTCACAGAGATCCGCCTGGCTTTGCCTCCCAAGTGCTGGGATTAAAGGCGTGCGCCACCACCGCCCGGCCTATTTTTATTTTTTTAAAAGATTTATCTATTTATTATGTATACAGCATGTATGACTGCAGGCCAGAAGAGAACACCAGATCTCATTATAGATGGGTGTGAGCCACCATGTGGGTGCTGGGAATTGAACTCAGGACCTCTGGAAGAGCAATCAGTGCTCTTAACCTCTGAGCCATCTCTCCAGCCCCCTTTATTTGGTTTTTCAAGACAGAATTTCTCTGTGTTACAGCTCTGGCTGTCCTGGAACTCACTCTGTAGACTAGGCTGGCCTCTGCCTCCTGAGTGCTGGGATTAAAGTCGGGGACACCACCACCCGGGGCTCCTTTTATTTTTTAAGAATTATTTTTGATGTGTATATGTGTTTTGCCTGCGTGTGTGTGTGTGTGTGTGTGTGTGTGTGTGTGTGTGTGTGTATGCAGCACATGGACACCAATGAAGGCCATTAGAGAGAGTCAGACCCCTGGAACTGGAATTACAGACAGTTGGGAGCGGCCATGTGGGTGATAATTGAACACCAGTCCTCTGGGAGAGCACTCTGTGCTTTTAACTGCTGAGCCATCTCTCCAGTCCCCCATTGCTGACAGTTTTATTTAATAAGAAGCTCGAAGGAAGCAACTATTCAGAGTGTGTTTTTTAGTTGATTTAAATTATTTTGTTTAGTACTTCTGGGACAGGGTCTCCAT